TGGAGACCCCAGGGGGCCTGGAATAGGGGGCAGACGAACCTACCTCGCTTTTGACCACCCTCGCTTCCAAGAGATACCAGGCGATGCCAAACTGCGGCATCTACTGGTCAGGCCGCTTGACGAGGAGGCGCATGGCATGGCTTGGTTTTGCCTGGAAACAAAAGCGGGGGAGGTAATTCACGCTCTGAGAACCTGGAAACCCGACGCAGGGAAGTGGACGGGGCGGCCGCCCGGGTCATTGCTTGCAGAAGGCGACAGATTAACCGGCATATGGACGACCTCAGGGACTGAAACACACAGCGCCAAAGGCGACATGGCCGACGAGCTATGGCAGAGCTTGACCCCATTACCGCGCGAGAAGTCCTCCAGGCCATCAGGGCCGTCAGCCGTGACACGGCGTCCACGTGTGACGGCTTTCACCCTGGGCATTTCGCACTGCTGCCGGAGACTGAGCTCGAGCCCGTTGCCCGTGCTGAGATCGACGATTGCGAGGCGGTGGGGATTTTCCCGACGCAGGCCCGAGCCACCGTCGCCACCCTGACCCCAACGCGCAAGCAACAGACGGCGACGGAAAATCCTAGCTACCGAGGAACAGGCCTCATGGCGGCGCCGTGGAAGACCTGGGCCCCTCTTCGGCAACGTGCTGCTCGACGTTGGGAAAGACGGAATCGCAGAACCTTCCTGGCCCACCAATCGGGCCGTGGGGTCCTGGAGACCGTGCATTTCTGAGTTTTCCAAGCCGAATCGGCCCACTACGAGGGCACCGCCAGATATGCCGCTGCGAGCCTTTGGGGCCTCTCAAGGCTATTAGCAACACGTCGACTGGGATAAATGGTTCACTCGGGCAACCGAAACCAGTTTCAACCAGGCCGTGGCCGCCTTAATCTACAATCAGCACGGAGGGCCGCGGCTTGTGGCGAGCCAAGGCCCAACTATATGTTGTGGGGGCCCCGCAATGCGGAATACCTGCGGGGTGCAGTTTCGCTGCGCACATCGCCCAGGATATAAACCTCCGCGTGTTCATAAAAGACCTCCTCTTCCAGAGCCATTATAAGACCCCCAGGGGCCTAGTGGCTAACCTCTCCTCCGCCGCCTTCAGCCTGAAGGATGTGATTGAAATCGACCTGGGATGCCAAACAGCCGCGCAAAAATCAGTTGCCCTCGCGTCGCCGACCGTCGTCCGCAAGCCTCTCGTCCGAGCCCTGAGGAACCTCGCTGGGCCCAAGACAGACGAGCGGATCGACTCGGCAGCCAACCTGGGCATCGATTACACGGCAGGAGGGAGGGCCCGTTCCAGTCGAGGGCGCGCAGCCCTTCGCGCTCGCTTCGCCAAGCCCCGCCAGCGCAAGCGCGAGCTGATGGCGCTGAAGCAGGCGGGCGCAGGCATGCGCAATCTGCGCAGAACAGGCTTGGATCAGGCCAATCATTGGGGTGCGGAGGTGATCGGACTAACAAATAAAGAAATCAAAGAAAGCCAGGGCATGTACCTGAACACCGTGGGCCCCCGAAGTCGCGCGAGATCCCGAATCCGAAGCTTGTGTCTTTGGGGGAGGGGGGGGGGGGGGGGGGGCGCGTGGAAAGCCGCTTTGGGGCCAGCGGTTGATCATGGGCTTCTGGTTTGGAGACTGTCAACGCAACCGAGTCTTCAAGGGATTACGCATGGGGAGTTCTGCGACAAGGCGCTTAACATCATGAAGAGCCACCCCAAGAAATGGACGACATACAGAGGACTCGTGGGGCCCACCATCCTGAGCCTCCAGAGAATCAACTGGCACCTCGAAAACCCATTCGAGCTCGAGACCTCCGGGGGCCTGCTGATCCAGTTCACAACGACGCCCTCTGCGCTCCTCAAGCACCACCTCGAGGAGGTCTGGAGGGCGAATCTCGAGAAGCGCGCAGCGGCCAAAAAGGGAATTCCCCAGGAAAGCTTAGACGTCTCGGTTGCGCAACAGGTGCTCGATGATACTAATCTAGCTCACTCTAAAAGAAGCAGCCTGATGTCCTACCTTACCCAGTGCATCTGGACAAAAACTAAGCTCGCGGCTGCAGGATACGACATCGACACGACGTTCCCGTGCGGTTTCGAGCGTGGTGACATGGCGCACAGGTTCGAGTGCCCCTTCGTCTTCAACCTCAGATATGAGATGCCCCAGCCCCGTGATGAATCCGATTTGGAAGGGTACCCCCTGGCAGCTCCCCTCGCCCACGGGTTCCAGTTGTTACCCCCAGCCTGCATCGCCCGTCCTGAAGGCTCTGGTGTTCCCTGCGGGTTTTGGCCCCGAAGCGGTGGTCCTATGGGCGTGGCGATGGCTGGGGCGTGTTTTGTCGACGGAAGCTGTTTTAAACAGGGACTCTCGGTCTGGCACCAAACTGGGTGGGCCGTTGTCGTGATGGATGCGGAAGGCGAATGCACCGCGCGTCTCTCGGGGCAGATGGGAGAATTGCTCCCGCCGGCCTCGCCAGCTGCTGAGCACCTGGCAATGGCCGTGGCTCACGCCTGCCCGCGCATCACGTGCATTCACGCAGGTCATCTCGGAGCCATCGCCAAATATGGCCAGGCGGAATCCGATGGGAAGAAAATCTATGCGGGGTTGGAGCTGCTGGCCAAGAGTAAACATAGCCAAGGGGGCCTCCCTAGGATTTGAAAAGTAATGGCCCATGGAGGTTTAAACAGTTTGGGCCCAGGGTCCAGGGACAAGCTCCTGGCCAAGGGAAACGACGTTGCCGATAGACTAGCCAAGGCCGCTGCCAGCAAAGCGGGGGGACCCTCGCCTGCCGAGGTTCAGGAATACGATTTGAGCCACGGTTTCCTGGTGCGGTGTGTGCGGTTCCTCGCCAAGGCCTCCCGACCTGGCCTGTCATCGCCCCAAAACCTGGCAGCAAGGCCCGCGAGGGGCCGAGTTTCAAGCCCGAGAGTAGGTCATTAGTGGGCGCCGCCGTCCTCGCCCCTCTCATGCCTCCGACCTCCGACTCTCCTGGGGTCCCTGCGGCCGTTGATGGCGACCCCGCTCGGGGCGACCAGAACCAAGGCGGCGCCCAGTGAAAGTTTCTGGATGTGCGAACTCTGCCGCTGCCGAATTCGAGCTCGTTCGGAAGCTGCTGAAGATAGGAAGTCGCGCCAGGCCTGCCCAGGCCACTGCGCGAGTTTGGCTGCTCTTTCCGAAGACAATAAAAATGTACAACATTTACGTTTTCGACCGCTTAGATTCCGAGAGCTGTGTTCTTGCCTGTTGGTCTTGTGGCGATTACAGCGAATTCTATCCCAAAGCATTCAAGAAGGAGTGCAATGGCCCCCCCACCAGCAGTTACAAGAAAGTTACATTAAACTGCTTTGAGACCTGCCGCCGCCACAAGGGAGGCATGAAAAGCAGGCCGTGTTTTGCAACCCCAGTGACCCTTGATTCAATGATCAGGGAGGTGCAGCAAGAGCCTGGGTAGTACAGCAGAGATCAGACAGACCTCCTTCAGCTAGATGCGCTGGTCCTCCTCCTCTCTATGTCCCTCCTCCTCCTCTTCAACAAACTGCTGCCCTCGTAATATAACTGTGTATTGTCATTACTGATGTCGTTATTCTCCAACCTCCTTGTCCTCTTCCATCCGCTTCTCTGGATCATCCTCCCCATTTCCTCCTCCTCCTCCTCCTCCTCCTCCTCCTCTTCATTGCCACCCTCCTCTTCCTCTCTATGTCCCTCTTCCTCCTCTTCAACAAATTGCTCTCCCCATCGTTTTATTCCTTATTGTTATTATTAGTGTCATTATTTCCCCATCCTTCTCCTCTTCCATCCACTTCTCCAGGTCCTCCTCACCCCTCTCTTCCTCCTCCTCATCATCCTCTTCCTCCTTTCCTTTTCCTTACAAATAACTTCTCCCTGGCGCACCCCGGAGCCAATACTTTAGGTCGGGACGGGCGTTTCGCCTGAGACTTCCTCACCACCTATGACCCTGAAGCTTCAACATTGGCAACAGCTTCGCGGATTGAGGGCGGATCGTTTTCAACATGTGGCTCTCGCCTTAACGCCGCGCGCATTCGCTCAAACAGTTGCAAGAGTTTCACGGGTTCAGGGAGACTGGTTTTCAACGTATGGCTCTCGCCTTAGAGCCGCGCACATTCGTTTTGAAAGAATGCAACAATTTCACGGATTGAGGGCGACTGGTCTCCAACATGTGGCTCTCGCCTCAAAGCCGCGCGAGTTCGTTCTAATGAATTGCAAGAGTCTGACGGATTCAGGGCGGTTCCTTTCCAAAACGTAGCTCTCGCCCCAGCGCCGCGCACATACGTTTTTTTTTATATGTAAAAACAGAGTTTCACGGGTTCCCATGGTCATCGTACCAGAGATGGTGTTTTGAAAAAGGTTCAATACTATGATGGTGCAACGGTTACTTTGATTCGGGGTGAAATCCTATGAATGGCGTTCTGACACAAGTCAGGATAGTCAAGACGCAGCAGTCAGGCTGATCCGTGGCGTTGGAATCCCGAGAACGATGACTTGGCGTGCTTCAGGGTCTTCAGACGGCCGTCTTCCAACGAGCCAGTTCCCGTAGTGGAAATGAGCCCTCGTGGGGGCCCATGAAGAGGTCGCTTGGGAGGGCTTATTCTAACATCGTTCATGACTCTTGGGTTTACACTGGTCCTCCTCCTCCTCCTCCTCCTCCTCCTCCTCCTCCTCCTCCTCCCCACCTAGCGTTAAGTCGGGCCTGTCCCCCTACGGGGGACGTTCGACGAAACAAATAATTTCCACATAGTCCAAACATAATCCAAACATTGTATGGGGACTATTTGTTGAGTAGTGTTTGACCTTTTTGGTGTATTTTCGGTGTTTTTCATTTTTCGTCAAAAAAACCCTGCGGGGGGACACGCCCGACATAAACATAGCGCCCTCCCAAAAGGTCACGAGACATAGCCAAGATACCTCCGACATCTGCAGTACGGGCCCGAGCGCCCCCAGGAGAGCCAACACACAGACTCGAAGCTCAGTCTGCCCCTGCAGCACCCAGGACGCCTTCGAGCAGGCGCCCTCGCAGTTGCCAGGCCTCCCAGGGAGCGGCCGGTGATGCGCACGCGCACCAACACCCTGGAACGCACCAGCTCCTTTCTCAGCACGAGGCCACGACAAACATAGGGGGAACAAGACGTGGCACAAACCTAAAAACTCGGAGGTCCGCGCGGGTTTCTCGGATCGGCGCTGGACCCCCCTCCCTGGCGCGCGGAGCGCGCTAGGGGCGGCGCCGGAAGCGCCGCCAGGGGGGTCCAGCGCGGATCCGAGAAGTCCGCGCGGACCACCGAGTTTTTACGTGTTTAAATCACTGCCAGTTTCCCTACAACAGGGCACGACAACCAGCACGAGGCCACGAGGCCACGACGAGCCAGCCCGAGGATCAGCACGAGGATCAGCGCGAGGCCACGAGGCACGAGGCCACGAGGCCACGACAAACCAGCACGAGGCCACGACAAACCACGAGGCCACGAGGCCCTCCTCGTCAGCACGAGGCCACGAAGGGGCCCCGGGAGGTGCGGCCCCGGGGAGGGCGGCCGGAGAACGGCCCCGGGGCCACAAGGGGAGGGCGAGGAGCGGGTCTCCAGGCCGCGCGTGCAGCTCCACTCCGCGGGGCCTCCCAGGGCCTTAGCATTCTCTCAGGGGGCCACAGGCGGACCCTGCCCCTACCCCCCACGACTTCTGCGGAGGGAGGGTGGGGTTGACTTTCGCTCGGGAGCTCCCGAACGGAGTGAACCCCACCCTCCCCCTCAGAAATCGTGGGGGTTAGGGGTAGGGTTCGCATGTGGCTTCCTAATTTTCTGAGGGCGGAGGGCTCAGGGTGAGATCCATATGGGCTTTCGCACCTCGAAAATCAACCCGTCTTGTGATTCACCTTTTGCAGGTTCAAGCATCGAAAACCAATCGAAACGGCATTTCTGATTTCACCTTTGGCCCTCCACCCAAAGAACATGCTCGGAGGGCACCGCCGCGAACGCGGCCAGGCTGCCGCCCCCCAGCGAAGTCGGGGCTCTCCCGCCTGGGTGCGCGTGCAGCTCCGCTCCGCTGGGCCTCCCAGGAGCCCGCGAAGCGGCGACGGGTGGCCCGTTGGAGCCACCCGCGCCATCTCCAGCGATCCCCCTGGGTAAGATCGGCGGCGAGCGAGGGTCGGGTCGGGCGAAAGGGGGGGATAGCAAAGGGGGGGTTTGAGAATCAGCTCACGTAGCTAATTTTCCCGGCGCCTCCCGGCGCCGGGAGGCGCCCACGTATCGCGGAATGGGCCCCTCGGTGAGGCCGAAACCAGCTGCATGTTGCAAATTTCGTAACCCCCCCTTTCCCAATCCCCCCCTTTCGCCCGGCCCGAACCACCCGCGCCATCTCCAGCGATCCCCTTGGGTAAGATCGGCGGCGAGCGAGGGGGGGGGAAGTGGGAAGGGGCGGGCCCTCTCAGAAGGCTCGGAGTCCCCCGGCCCTCCGAGAAGTGTGCGAAACACTTCCCCGGAGACGCAGAAAAAACTTCTCCGGAGGCTGAGAGGTCTTCTGGGAAGCCCCGCCGCCTTCTGAGAAGGCCTTCTCCTTCTCATCTCCCCCCTTCCCTCGCCGCCGACCTGTGGTGCGCGGCTTTCGGGGAGCCGCGGGCGGGGGGGTGGGGCAAACGCAAGCGCACAAGACGCCAACTCCTGCCGCACCGCGCTCGGCGGTGGGGGGGCCCCAGTGGGCGCGCACCATAAGTCCGTCCGGCGAAGGGTCCCTCTTGCGTGCAGCCGACTGGAGAGGGACGTAGGGGGCCACTACCCCCCACGATTTCTGATGAGGGTGGGGTTCGCTTTGTTCGGGAGCTCCCGAGCGAAGTGAACCCCACCCTCCCCCTCAGAAGTCGTGGGGGGTAGGGGTAGGGTTCGCGTGTGGCCCACTAGGACGCGCTTCTGGCCTGGCCCACGACGCGCGAGCTCCTCTTCGCGCCCCTGCGGGGGACCCACCTGGGGAGCGCCCTGCTCGGCGAGCGCGGCGCTCTCCCGCAGAGGACCGAGAGCAGGGTCGGAGGCGAGAGGGGGCACAGCGGAGGCATCGCAGGACGAGGGGGAGGAGACCCGTCCCGAACCCCCCCCACCTCTTGGGCGCGAATGACCGGGGAGGGGCGATACGTGGGGGGGTGCACTCTGGGGGCCCCGAAGGGCCCCTTCTGGGCCCTAAAAGGCCTCCCTTTCTGCAGCCCTCGCTGCCTCCCCCCATGTCCTCTCGCCCCCCCCATGTCTCGCCTCCCAAACCCCTCTGCATGTGGCGGACTCCGGAAACTAAAACAGGGCTAGGTTCGGGATAAATCGCTCCAGAGCGTTCCGGAGCGCTCTCAGAGCGTTCCGGAACGCTCTGGAGCGGCCGCGTCGCCCAATACATCCTCCAAACCCGCCGATTCTCAGAGATTTCGAATAATCCCGATCCGATTTTGTCCCGATCTTCGCTTCGTTTTAGAAACCCCGAACCCCCCGAAAACCATTGCGGTAGCCAGGCCCACTGTAGAGTGGCCGGCGTCCTTGCGCCAGCATAGGGCGTGTGAGCGGCGCTGCCTGGCTGGCAGGAGCCTTCTGGGAACCCGCCCCTTGGGCTCCCAGCCAGGGCAGGACGCCGGCGCGGGCCATAGGGTGGCATGAGGGCGGGCAGAAAGCTGGCAGACAGCCGCCAGGCTGTTGCTGGGGAGCGCGCTGGCGCAGCGCCACGGAACCGCCCCAGGAGGCGCACAGGCGCGACTCCTGCTAGAGAGCTTCGGGGGCGCCGCTCCTGTCTGGGAGCATGCAGGCGCAGCTCCTTTCAGGGAGCTTGGGGGTGCTGCTCCTGTCAGGGAGCACAGGAAGGAGCTCTGGGGGGCAGCGCTCCTGTCGAGGAGCACACAGGCGCAGCTCCTTTCAGGGAGCATTGGGCGCCGCCCCCTTCGGCGAACTTCTGTTCTGGGGCGCCGCTCCTGTCAGGGAGCTTTGAAGCGCCGCTCCTATCAGGGAGCTTTGAGGCGCCGCTCCCGTCAAGGAATTTTCGGCCGCTGCTCCTGTCAGGGAACACGCAAAAAGGGAGCTCTAGGGCGCCGCCCCTGTCGGGGATCACGCAGGCGCAGCTCCTTTCAGGGAGCGCTAGGCACCGCTAGCTCCGATCAGGGAGCACGCAGGCGCAGCTCCTTTCAGGGAGCTTCGGAGGCGCCGCTCCTATCAGGGAGCCTGTCTTGTTTGTGCAGCCCCTGTCAGCGAGTTTTTTGGCCGCTGCTCCTACCAGGGAGCATTCTCGATCTGGCTTCAAGGAGCCAGCGCGCGGGAGCAGCAGCAGAAGAACTGCGAGACACGATCGGCCCAGCAGACGAGGCCAGGCCCGAGCAGCGCGGGCGAACCGCCATGCGAGACCGTACCAGAGTACACACGAACAGAGCAAGGTGAGCATACTTCCGCCGCTTCGCGCAGAAAACCGCCGGCCGCCGATGCCGCAGCCCGCTGCGCAGGCATTGAGCGTGCAGGAATTGAGGAGTGGAGGCGAACACACGTGGGGCTGCTCCTCATGGTTTTCCTGCAGCATAAACGAGTTTATGAATCATGAAAACCATTGCGGTAGCCAGGCCCACTGTAGAGTGGCCGGCGTCCTTGCGCCAGCATAGGGCGTGTGAGCGGCGCTGCCTGGCTGGCAGGAGCCTTCTGGGAACCCGCCCCTTGGGCTCCCAATGCGCCAGAAGGCGACGGACTGCGCGGCAGCGCCTGACAGGGGTACATCGTGACGACCGCTTCCTGTTCCTACTTGTTTTACAACCCCACGCACACGATGCCACAGTCAGGCTCGCTCGCCGTCACTTGAGTCGGAGTGGTCAACTAGCCATTCGGCCGCCGACAAAGCACCACGACTTTGGGCGCTGACGTAACCGAAAGCCGCCACGCCCTTCCAACCACCACTGAAAAACAAAGCTGCGGGCCCTCCTTGTTGGAGCGCCTCGTCTGCAGAGCCTCGCCTGAAAGCGTGCGTGCCCCAGGCCGCAGCACTCCGCAACTGCATAGCGGCTGCTGCAAGTTTAAGAACAGCAAGAGCGTCGGCATACTGCGCGCTCGCGAAGGGGACCGACACTGCTGCTCCTACAGAGAATAATGCGCAGACACCACGCAAGGAGCGCCCTTGCAGCTGACAAATACAACGTCTGGTTGTCTCACACGGTTCGTTGTAACATTTGCGCTGCGCGAAACGAATGACACAGGTTTTGCGTTCATCGCCGCTGAAGCGGAATGTCACAACATTTGACCCGAGGAGCAGCAACTCAAAGTAACGCAAACAGAATTGGCGAGCGATCACCCACGACGCCGCCCACAGCGGATATATAGCTTCAGCGCACCACTTGCGGATGAGTTCGGTTTCTTCCGCCGTCGCCCGGATCTTCACTCACCTGAATACGTCTCGGGTAAATTTTTCGGCACCTCTGGCCAGCCTTTCTGCGTCGTCGAGAACACCGAGAGGGGCCTGCAATAGGTAGAGCACACTGCGGACATGAGAAACCGAATTCTGCAGACTGTTCCCATTACGGAATAACCCCACAAAGGCGTTGAGAACAGATTCGGACGGTGGCCAGCTGGGCGCCGAAATGGCCCTGGCAGCTTCGCCCCACAAGCGGACGGCGGAAGCGCATTCTGGAGCACTTTTTCGCCAGGCAGCGAACTCGACCCACAGAGTGTGGAGATGGAGATGATCTCCGCCAGGAACATCGCGACGTGCACGTTTGACTTCTTCACGGGGCCTGCCAATTGGTTCCGCCCCTGGATAGCAATTGCAGCGGGCGGCGGCCGCCACTGCGGCTGCTGGCGCAGCAGGTTCGGGGACAACGCGAGCACGGCGCGATTCACCAAGCAAGATCAAGCCAGCGCGACCTTGCTCGTCGTTGGCTGCCTCACGTGGATCGCTTTGGCTCGCAACTCGGGTTCGCGCCTCTGCCCCAGCCCCTGAAGAGGACGAGGTAGCCTCGGTGCGCGTTGCCTGTCGGCGCGCCGCGGCCGCTAACTCCCGGTCGGCCTGGCGCTGACACTGCGCCAAGAAGGCTTCGACGAG